TGCACTGTTAATAGAATGTATGGTAATTAAGCGCGCGCACACACACACACACACACACACACACACACACACACACACCCACGCTTCCATGATGGATCATCTCATTAAACAGAAAGCCAGACTTCAAAAACCATACTACTAAATATGGAAATATAATTTAACATTTCTGAAAAATAGAAAATGGGAATGTTTATCAAGTGCAAAAAACTATAGAAAACAAACTGTTTTCATCCTTAAAAACATCAAATCTTTTTTTAATTGCTCTTAGTTCTTGACTTCAATGTTTCAGGTAATGAATTCTACAGATTAATGATAAGCAGTGTTAAAAAGTATTTCCTTTTCTCAATTATAACTTTGTTGTCCCTGAATTTTTATATTGGAATTTTCATTCTCATTATTCTGGAATTATTAGAAGCAGGAATCCAGATTTGCCTTCTGTGTATCATCCATTATTTAAAACATCCTTGTAATGACCCTTTTAGTATACCTCTATGTCATAACAACTTTACTTGACTAAAGGCCTGATTCAAAAGATACTGTAGTCAATGGTACAGTACAATTTCCTATTTGGAGCCTGTAAATAAGTAGGTGAAGCTATGCTTTGCATTTTAGTACTTAAGTTGATTTGGTTGCTTGTCTTAGAGCAAGCCTGTAGATTCAATATATATTTAAGTAATTTATTTGAGATAACTATGAAAGGATTCAAGGCTAGACTTTCCTCTCTTCAGTTTCTAAGTTTACATCATTTTCTGCATGGATGATGGATATGCCATAGTGTGTTGACATCACATTATAAAACACAAGCCTATAAAAGCCCAAAATTTTTTATGGAGAATAGAGAGCATTCAGCTCTACAATACAAGGTTGGGTTTTATTGCTTGATTTTGGTAACTATATAAACCATGAAAATAGCAGTAAATTACTATAACAACAATTTTGATTGTGTGCAATATAGTATCATCATATCCTATATAAAACTAAGTATTAAAAATACACCAGAAGTGTGCTACTTTAAGATACATATTTTAGTAATTTTTGTTTGTTTGATGAAGCAATTCTTAAGCAAAAACCAGACTGGTCCCTTAGGTGTGCCCACCTTAGCAATACCTTAAAATGCAGGTGCCTGTATCTGGTGGCTGGTTTAAAGAAGTGGAGTCATGGCTCAAGCTCTTTATAGAGTAGTGGATGCATATCTAAAGGGCAATTTTGAGAATCACAAAACTAAGCAGGCAACTTTCTTGAGACAGCGTCCTTGTTCTCCTTATAGTCCAGGACTTGTATACATGGCTGATCAGTGAACTAGCTTCAACAGAATGGGTACAGAGTTCCTTCACATAGCATAAAGGCAGACAAAATATGGCCTACAGGCTGAATCCATCCCACCAGCCAATTTCATCTGGCCTGTGGATGGGTGCCTACCATTTCATTGTATTGAGCCTGGCCCTGGGTTGCCCCTGCTGTGGTCTCGTGGGGCTGAATCCCACTCACTCCCACAGGGCCAATGTATGCTTTGCTCCCACTCTTGCCCATGGGATGGCCCTGAGCCAGGCCCCACAGGTAGGGAAGTGGTGACAGTGGTCAGGAGAAGGGTGGAGCATGCAGGGGGGAAGTGGTGGTGGCAGTGGGTGGGGGGAAGAGCAGTGGTGGGTGGGTAGACAGGGGGGGACTTAGGGAAGTGGCAGGGGAAGGGTGGCAGCATTGGTAGA